GTGAAAGGGGGGGGGGGGGGGGGGGGGGGTGAGAGCGAAAGAAACTAAGGTGCCGGTGACTACCTCCCTCCAAGACACAGACCTTTCCAATTCATGCCGGTAGTTCCGAATCAGGACCGACTAAATCGCGTTCACAGGCAACCCCACGAGGACCGGCTCACCCTTCCTCGCTCGAGCTTTCTCCCTGCGTAGTGTCCTCGTACCCGGTGAACCACGTCCGCCGCGCCCCCCCTCCGCCTCGCAGCGTCACCGCACTCCCCCCCGCCCCGCCACCCACGATCCCTGTCCTCGTGCCCCATGGCCCATCCACTGGCGGGCTCTGCTGGTGCTGCCGCGGCGCATGCCGATCATAACCTCGAGCGGCCTCGCTGACCAAGCTACGAATGGCTCCAGCGCTACCATCACCCACGCCGGCTCCATCTCGCCCCTGGCGGCAACGCCTCTTAAGTGAAAACGGGGGCCCGGCGGCCAGGAACGAGCCCCTACTACTGCTGTCGGCCGAAGCCGCCTGCGCTAAGCAAGGGGGGCGGGACGACGACGGCCAGAAAAACGCCAACGACGCCGTTCCAAGAACCGACGCAAACGAAGGCCTCTCCACCCTCCTCCTGCCGCTGCCGCCGCCCCTGCCGCTACCGCTACGGCCGCTTCTCCGCGAGCTTCTTGCCCCTGCTGGCATCGTGGTGGCGGCGGCGGCGGCCGGACCGGGGACTGCAAGGCGCGGCGTGCTGACGCCGGTGGAAGAAGAAGAACCGGGACAGCAGTAACGCCCGCGGGACGTACGGGCCCTGTCCTGGCCTCGGGGGCGTCTTGTGTTCTGTGGACACGATGAATAATAGTCTCACGACCCGGCACGGGGGCTTGTGTGTGTGTGTTTGTGTGTTTGTTGAGTGTGTGTGCCTGGAATGGTGGAAGCAGGGTTTACGCGGCCTGCTTGAGGGTGTTGCACTTCGGCAGAAGTAGGTGGGGACGGTACACGCGAGGGGACGGTACGGGGGAAAGGGAACGCAAGCACGCTGTTAGGTTTTACCTATTGAGTGATGATTCAAGCAGCAGCAGCAACGGCAGCAGCAGCAGCAGCAACGAGGTTCTGCTTCAGTTCAGGTCGTCGGACAAGCGGGTACTACCAATCGGGTACCATGGAGTGTGAGACAGCAGACACAGAAGGGATTCATCGACTACTGAGTCTGAGCGCTCAGTCCAGACCTCACCCCCTAGGCCAGAACGCCAATCGATCTGGTCCACAACGTGATCATCGACAAAAACTCCATCGTTTGGAGTCGAATTCTGAAACTTGATATCCTGCTGCAACTCGTAGTACCGTGTGCAATTTGCCGAGACCATAACATGCAGCATTTCAAACCGGGACAACTGCCTAGAGGAGGGAGGCGGCGACAACAGAAAGAAAGCACAAGACAGCTTTTGGGCCACCTGTTTAGTTGGTGCTCAAGTGGACCGTGAGGCTTGGACTACAGTCTGTGCCCTACGACACAATTTATTGGTCCCTCTTTCTACACTAAATCGTGCTTCGGGTGATAATCTGAGGTAGCTGAAGAGCACGCCATGCCTGTTTATCTGAGCGATGGGTAGCAAGCGGGGTGTTCTCACACAAAATAAAATCGCTACCGGCTACAGTTCACCAAACTTGTAGTGGGCAAATTAATTCGACCCTCCGAAACACGCTCTCGTCGGGTTGTGTGGGCGTTTCGGTTGTTTTTCGTCGACGGCCTGAGAAGGGAGGGTTATATGAAGTACACTACTATAGCGTTGGTTACGGTTCTTCGTCTCTATATTGTTTCACCTTGGCGTGGGACGGGAGAGGTAGGTAGTCGGGCGCTGGTGCTCAGAGGGGGGGTGGTATCATGCATCATGGAGCGAGCTACGCAGTATGTAGTATGTTCTTCCTTGAAGTAAACATCAAAAGGGCGACAGCTGATACCTAAGCAACAGTAGTGCTGCTGTAGTTTGCTGGGGTCACTTTACAAGTGTGGAGGCGCTGGTCATCCAGAAGTCACCATGGGACAGACGAAATTGTATTGTTGTGCATACAGCTCCCAAAAGCCAAATCATGAACTGCCTCTTTTTGTGTGTGCCCTTGACATGTGTCACACAGCGACGGACTGCTGGGGAGCCGGGGCCATCGCCTACTCACGCGGCCACTGGCATACCAAAAGACAACTTACTACGAACGGCTTGCCCTCGTAAAAAATCTCCTTCTGTGACGCCTAAACCCGGCAGACTTGCACATCATCATCATCACCATCTCCCTCTCTCCACCTCTTGAAAGTAGACTACGCATAACTACATGATACTCTGTACAAGTGAATTCGTTCCCTTACCCACCGTGTCAGTCTACTCCTTGTAAATATCGTGTTCTCTCTCACTCGCGTGCTTTCTCTGCCCACCGCCCCTCTTCCACACTGGCGGTTGGTGTGTAGCAGGCGGCGTGGGAAGTGCGTAGCATGCAGCAGGTGCTTAGCTGGCGGGGTGAGGCCTCTTCTCCCCGTGGAGCGGCTGAGCGGCACGTGGGGTTCACGCACTGCTTTTGATTGGCCAACATCCACAACAGTTCGCACAGGCGTGAGACCTCGTTTGATTGGCGGAGCACAGAGAGGATCGGGGCAAAGTTTTGCAACAGTCCCGCCGAGAATGACACACGGCCAACGACCGCACGCGGTATGCATTCAACTCACAATACGCACGCGCGAGATGGTGGACTACAAGCAGTGTAGAGGTCTCTGGCATGGCCACACTGCGCGTCCTGCCAGGTGCAAGTACGTGTTGGGCGTGGCGGCTATCTGCTGTACTACTGGCACGTGGTCACGTGAAAGACTGGGCAACTCTCCCGACTCCGCCGTCAGGTCTGCCCTCGCCGGGGTGGGCCGAGGTCTCCGCGAGTGAGCGTGGACCACACAAATACCATCACAGAGACACGAGCTCAGGCCTCGCAGGGAAGATCGTCCTGAGATTGAAGGACAGGAGTTACCGCGATCGCGAAATCGGGGTATCTCCGATTGATTGCAGCACTACAGTGTGTGTAGCAACATACGGTTTAGATTTTTTACAGCAGTGAGCGCCACGCATATTTCCCACCCGCTGCCGGAAATTCGATACATCTGGGGTTGGATCCATCTTTATGCATGACGTGAGCCCTGGCCCGCGACCACTGCCCGAGGCTGAGGAGGACACACCACTGGCTTCTGCTACAAGTTATCGGGTACCGCCTGATTCACGGCAAATATCGGGAGCTCTCCTGCGCCCATAGTCTACCCTTGGAAGGTTATTCACACACCAAACCGTGGACCTTACCATCCGGCCACGGCCACTACTGTTCGCTAGGGCGTTTTGTCAGATAACCCCACGGGTATCTCCCAACGCGGTTGATGTTCGGGGAAAATGTGGGTGGGATATTACCCAGGGCGAGTACCCTGGGCAAGAACGGGTGTCCAGAGCGGAACTGACTACAGTGTAGTAGTCTACGCATAGAATACCTCGAAGACGACCTCCTCACGGTGAGTTTGGTGACACAGCCGAAACGATTGGCGACGACAAGAGGATATCTGGGGTACCCCGTGCTTGTTGGACTCTCGCAGCGAGGGTGGAGGAAGGGGGGCCTTTGTACACGACGGTGCTGCACGGGGCGGATAGTGATTCACGGTCGGCTGGCTAATGGAGGAACAGAAGGCAAGCAGACTGCGTGCGGAAAAACGGGACAGACAGAAAAAGAGCCTGACAGAAGCCTGAAGAGATCTAGGGATCTCGGGGAGGGGGGGGGGGGGGCATCGAAAAATCAGGTTGGAGGGCATGACTGCAGCTGGGGAGAGCACGACAGAGACGGCAGAACATGTAGAGATATGTGTCGGACTGAATACATATGATGGAGGTAGAAGGAAGACCAGCCACATCTTGCTCCAATACTTTGTATCGTTAACCCCAGTCATGTACATCATCGGCATTTTCACCATGGTTAACCATGGTTAACCATGGTCATGACCATGGTTAGCCATGGTTAACCACCATGGTTAACCATGGTTAACCACCATGGCTAACCATGGTTACCCATGGTCACTTTCACCATGGTTAACCATGGTTAACCATGGCTGACCATGGCTGACCATGGAGAGCCATGGTCAGTCGTGGTTGATGGAAACCCATGGTTGTCCATGATCTATGATCAGCCATGGGTGACCATGCACAATGGCCATGGTTAGCCATGGCTGATCATGGTTAACCAATGGTGGTCCATGGCTGACCATGGTCGACCACGATACTGCCATGGTCAACCATCGTGGTTAACCATGGCTAGCCATGGTCATCCATGGTCAGCCACCATGGTTAACCATGGTTAACCATGGCCAGCCATGGTCAACCACCATGGTTAACCATGGTTAACCATGGTCAGCCATGGTCAACCACCATGGTTAACCATGGTCAGGCATGGTCAATCAGCCATGGTTAACCATGGTAGGGAGGAAACGGAAAGATGAACATGGGGGAATTACGAGGACTATGAACGACACCAATAAATAATGTAATTCCTAATCGTCAGCCACCTCTACCCATGGTGAGTCAGGGATACCCACCCAAAGTAACCGCCGCCTACCATTGGAGAACAGGAGATACGCAGGCATGTTGAGTGGTTCGTAGTGAGAAAGGAGCAATAAAGATAGGCATGAGCCACATGAAGCGACAACGAACCACGCTCAAATCCCTTCCGCGCGAAGGGTGGAGGTTCCGAATTTCAGCCTTTGGAAAAAAACTACAACTAACTGGAAAGATATGGTGGCTTGCCAAATCATGTGGGGACAGTAGCCAAGCACCCTTTGTCTGTGTAGGAGCTCAAATTCTTAGGAGGGACTGTATCCCCTCGACGAATGGTTGACCACCATTTTGGCGACTTGTTGTTTTTTCGGAGGGACTGGGTACTACTGTAGGAGTTGTTGTGTGAAGACAGCAACAACACCAAGACTACGACAAAATAACAGGAGCAACAACAACAACAACAACAGCCAACAACCAACCACGATTTAACCAAGTAAGGCCCGACAACCACGCCACGTTTCTCCCATCACGCTATTGCCTCACGAAGACATCCACGAAGACATAGGATTCACCGTTCCTAGGACAAGCACAACATAGAACAAACGCCTACATTCGTCGTTAGGAAACCAGAGGGAAACACGCCTATATTGAAATAAACAGATGATACGCCCACGACGACGTGACGCTACGCGCAGCACTATCTAGCGAACTCAATAGTACATGCTTCAATAACACAAGGGCTCACAGGTAGACAGAAAATATGGCGGAAATCCACGTGCATTAGGCCGCAAGGCCAATAAGAACACGACAAGTTTAGTTTGCCAATGAAACCTTGTCCGTATTTTTCTAATAGCCACGTTTTACCCGCGCCAGTAAACCAACACTACCCCCCTGCAGTTAGTAACTATTCGCACCGGACGACCCAGCGGAGGAGGCCGACGTTGCTGGCGGAAAGCGTCGGGGTACTCAACGTAGAAGGCCTTCCCTTTCAACA